CGTTTAAGCTTCTGAAAAAGTGTTTAATTAACTATCCGGTTTTGAAGGTTGTCGATCCTTCTTTGCCCTTTGTGGTCACCACTGACGCAAGTCAATACGGGATATGTGTTGTACTTCAGCAGGATGATGGGCATGGATACAGACCGGTAGAATTTATGTCCCGATGACTACCTAACGAGAAGATCGTCGTTTCCACGTACGAGAGAGAGTTGTTTGCTCTCAGAGAAACCCTTGATTATTGGCGACACTATCTCCTAGGAAGACACTTCAAAGTATACTCAGATCACGAGACACTTCGCTGGCTTAAGACGCAGACCCGAATGACACCTAAGTATACTAGGTGGGCCGCAGAAATCGACCAACATGACTTTGAGTTAAGGCCTGTTAAGGGTAAGTATAACGTTGTCGCCGACGCATTGAGTCGAAGATCAGATTTCTTTGGTGTCATTGTAACCTATTTAGATGTGGGCACCGACTTACAAGAGAAGATTAGGAATGTGTATCCTACTGATCCTGTATATGACACTATGTTAAAACGTGTGCAACAGGCGCCGCAAGAGTTTCCTAACTATCGTATAACCCAATGACTGTTGTTTGGAAAAAACTGATGTGCATGATAGGCTTTGTATTCCGAATGTGGAAGAGATTAAAAGTTTAATCTTAGGGGAGTGTCATGACACTAAAGGTCATTTCGGGTGGAAGAAGACATATGCCAACCTCTTGCGTTCCTACACCTGGTCTCGCATGAAACCTGATTGCATTGCGTATGTGCAGGGCTGTCAAGTGTGTCAAAGAAATAAGAGCACCACGCAGCCTCCCCTTGGTCTACTTAAGCCTTTGCCTATTCCAACAAGTCCAGGAGACTTTGTGTCTATTGACTTTATGGACACTAAGGTAAAAAGTAGGAATGAAAAAATGCAAGTAATGGTAATCGTCGACAGGTTTGGTAAGTATGTTCTGTTGTTTCGGAATTACAACAACTCATGAGTTCTCAAGAGGCTCTGCTGTCAGAGTTCTTGAAACAACATGAATTACGTAGTATTAGTTTGCAAAATCGTATATCAAAACGACTTCTGGCATCATCAAAAGGGATAGGGGTGTCAGAAGAAGCGAAAACAGAACTGGTAATCCGGGAGTTCTTTAACCATTGGGTAAAAGATTATGGGCATCCCTTGACAATTGTAAGTGACAAAGACTCACGGTTCACAAGTGAACAATGGCAGCAACTAATGAACGTCTATGGCTCTAAGTTGACTATGTCTTCAGATAGGCATCTTGAGACTAACGGCCAAACTGAGCAAATGAATAAGATTTTGCAGCAGACGCTGCGAATGTACATCCGTCCCGATCAGATTGACTAGGACGAGCATTTGCTCAAAGTCGTCAGTGTGTATAACAACTATGTTCACCTATCTACATGCAAGACTTCGATGGAGTTGCATTTGGAATGGCGTCCGCGCAGACCTATCGATCGTCTGAACCCGGATCGTGCAAAAGCTTCCACTAGGAACAAGTGAGTTTGCTACACAGTACCAGAAAAATATAGAAAAAGCGAAGGAAAATATAATGAAGGCACAACAATGATAGAACAGGCAAATAAGCACAAAAAACCTTCTCAGTTTGCTGTAGGTAATCTGGTTTGGGTTAAGTCTAAAGAGTTTGTTTCTGAAGAGAACATCTCCCAAAAGTTGTTACCAGCCTACAGAGGACCATGACAAGTTTTGGTTGTGATAGGAGATGTGGATGGACCTTCTTACGTTATTGAGATTCCTCTACATTTGCATACGTATCCAGTATTTCACGCATCAAAGCTTCTATCCTGTGCGACTAAGTCAGACTAACGAACTGTTTTCAAATCGCCGATCAGCGATTAACATGTTATTCGTTAAAATAGGACATTATACTATGTCCTCTTCTAACGAATTCATTTTTGGCTGCATTCCAAGAAACGTAGGCACGCCCATCCACGGCTTAAGCACATGCAGAAGTGTGCTGAGATCCGTACTTGTGAAACTTTATAAATGATATCCTAAATGAGGAAGCGTGTTCAAACCCGTACATGTTAGGCACGCCGCACGGGAACCTTGTGTGGAAGTGTGCCGGGATCCTTACTTGCTGAACTTCAAAAACATGGCACTGCTGGGAATCYTGTGCRGAAGTGTGTTGGGATCCGTACTTGTTAAACTTCATAAACGAATAACGACAGGCACGCCCATCAGGGAACTCTGTGCGGAAGTGTGTTGGGAGTCTTACTTGTTGAACTTCATAAATGTGTCGTGAATCTTGTGCAGAAGTGTGTCGGTATCCGCACTTGTTAAACTTCATAAACGAATAAGGACAGGCACGCACATCAGGGAACCCTGTGCGGAAGTGTGCTGGGATCCGTACTTGTTAAACTTCAATTCCATAATTGTGACGAGCAATGTGTCATGATTGCATCCTCGTTGSATAATKATATTAGAAGACGTAGAGTAGCGACAGGCACGCCCATCCAGGATGCCTGTGCGATAGTGTGTCGGGAGCCACACTTGTCAAACTTCAAGTTTGTGAATGTGATTAGCAAGTTGTCATGATTGAATCCTTGTTGGATAATACTATTTATTTCTTTTATGCGTGAGTTGTACATGCATGGCTATCGTCTCGTCCGAGGCGGTTGTCTGGATGTTGTACAGATTCAGACTTCTTTAGAAGTACAAACAGTAACTGTTATTTGTGACATACAATTTATTTTTCTCGGTCAAGAACGCAAAATTGTTGGTCACATGTAATTCAGGCGGTCATAAGTACATGATTGTCTATGCACACAAGAGACGTGATGTCACTGGTCTTTCACTCTTTGCATAACGAACCTCACACCCACACACTCGCCGAGATTTGTCTTGCATCCACACTCCAATTCGTAATGTCGCACCACACACACGAATATTATTTCGAGGTGAATTATATGCACAACCTTGGATGACCTGGACATAATTTGCAACGAGGACTGCAATGCGATGAATGTAATGACACGACAGACGAGCCGGACCTGACAGAGATTCCGAAGGCAATACGCGACACCAAACTGGCAGTCAACATACCAAAGACAACTCAAACCTGCAACACTGAAAGAAAGTAATGTCGATGTGAAAGCGACAGTTAAAATATGAAATATTCTGAAACAGAAGTTTTCAAATCAATCGAATCCATCAAAGACAACGACATTCCAAGACACATGATGCCAGTTGTCGTCTAATATACGGAATATTTTTACAAGAGAACCTGAAAGGCGGTCAATCGCCACGTTGCAACAGTGTCGCAAACATCAACATAAACACCCCGCAACTAACTCCATCCACTTGTCTTGGAACTCCCTCTATAACAACATTTGTTGCCACCGACTTCTAGCGCCTGCACGAGCGCCTATGTGATGTTTCACATTCCAAATAGTGTACGATCAACTCGAAAACACTAAGGTAAAAACTAGAATCGGCTACAACGCAAGGAAAAGAATCGAAAATCTCCAGAACATTATCTCTCAAGCTCACGGAAAGGAGGATCCAGTGATCATTATCTTTGAGGACTGGAACAAAGATAATATCATATTCAAGCAGATCCACATTTTTAGCCCATCTTTCCACCCCGCCGTGCCCTTGAAGTTGCAGTTTACTGAAGAAGAAAGAATTAAAGGTGAAGACTCGAAGGCCTGGCGGGATGTCACTTGTCCCATACGCGGTCGTTCCTAATAGCGCCATGTAGAAGTTGACCACCTCATCATTCACCCTGCCGTCGGCAAGTGAGAGGGTGAGAATATCCTTCGCTGCAATTCGCAACTGACCATCGTGGAGGGTCGAGAGTACAGTGTCAGGTGGCACCAAGCCTCGTTCAATGTCGTCCAAAACCCGCAAGCTTCCAATCGCAATCACTGCTGTTCCAGGTGCCGTGGCCCGCACTGCACAACATCGAGCGAAGGACCGGGGGGGAAGTAAGAAACGGAACACTAAGGATTCTCCTTCATCGCACGACGAGAAGCTAAGTATTTCTCATACATGGCCTGACCCCTAGTCACAGATCGTGGATATGTCCCTTTCTTTGGGGGCAGAAGGGAAAGACACTCCTCAATGGCAATGGCATGCTCCTTCTTCCCAATTTCGACATCAACCCCTGATGCCTTTAACATGTCCTTATGTTTTGTCGTCAACCCCGGGACTGTATGCAATATGTGTTCCGGATATTTAGAGGGTCTCCGTGTTCGAGACGACCCTACCCCTGTACAGCAGAAGAAGACAGAACGAAAAATAAATACACATTTCCGAAAAAGAACCCGACGAAACGACAATTAAAGGACCACGAAATCTAAAAGACGCAGGACCCATGCAATTACGGAACCCCGTCATGCCATGAAAGTGCGAGAGAGAGAACTTTCGCACGAGCCACGTTGCAAAACAAAACGAGCAGTGCACTCGAGCTCGACACCCCCGCCGTTCAAAAGGGAAAAGCACATCAAGTCACAGAAGCGGAAGGCAAACATCTCTGAAGTCCGGATCCCGGCGGACTTTTCCAACCCACGGAGATGACCCAACCCCTGTGCAACCGAAGGAAGAGAAAACGGAAAATGAACTCAAGTAATCCAAGACAAACCCGACGAAAACGACAACTCAAGAACCACGAAATGTAGAAGACGCAAGACCTATCTATTTACAGAGCCCCGTTTAGCCATGAGAGAGATAGAGAATACTTCCGCCCAGGCCCCGCTGGAAAACAAAAGGAGCAGTGCGTTCGACCTCGACAACCCCGCCCTTCATAAGGGAAAACCTCAACAAGCCACAAACCCGGAGGCCAAACATTTGTGAAGTCAGGATCCCGGCGAACTTTTTCCAATCGAGGCACCTGAAGAATAACCGCATTACGTAGCGGCCTTGGCAGTGCGGATCCCGGCGGACTAAAACCACCACTCATTCCGAAAGAGAAACACCATCCTTCCATTATGTGAGGGAACGCTTCAACAAAAACACACATGTTTTTGTCTCGTGCGCATTGACAGACATTGCGGTCACTGACGCGCAGACAGAGTGGCGTTTGTCACTGCTTATCAGCTGGTTTGTCTCTCCGCTCCTTAATCGGCGAAGTTGGCGCGGGCAAGGCCAGCACGTCGAAAGCTCGAGTGCCGGGGGCAGTTTTTTTCGGGGATGTGACATCTTGTCTTCCCCCGATCCCACCTTCTCCTCCGCTGGCGATGGTCGGCGGCAGCATCGGAGAGCTCGTCGTTGAGAAATCAACGATAGATCCCCCGGAAGGTTTGACGTCAAGAGGGCCGTCGACACCAGGTGTCGAGGACCGCTGTGCGTACATGTGGTGGTCGCCCAGGATGCCGTCGATAACTTCTTCAATTTCAATATGCACATTCGGTTTAGTCAGGCTGACTGCTACACGAGCTTCGTTGAACCGGTGTTGGAGATCGACGACAAACGCCATTGCTTGGACCTCATAGTCATCACGTTTTGCCGAAAGGCTTGTGACCACCTGTGTCTCCGTACCTAGTGCCGTGTCATCGTCGTCCTCGTCTTCCTCGTGGTGTTCTCCGTACAGCTGCCCGAATCCGTCAGAAGACTCCCCAGATCTGTCATCGTCATCGCCGGAAGTCCGTTCGTCGTCTCGTGTATCGAGTTCACCTTTTCCCCCCTCCTGCCCTCCTAGCAACCCAGCCAACTCCGTTTCTTCCCCTTCCTCTCCTTCATCCTCTTCTTCCTCCCCTTCATCCCTTCCTTCCTCAAATTCCTCCCTTGTGTCTCCTTCCTCCACTTCCTTCTCTTTGCCCATCACCCTGCCTTCTTCCCCTGCATGCAATGCAGCCACTTCGCCCGAACCCGTGTCGATTCCCGATGAATGCGCTTCCTGCCCGCCGCACGGAGCCCCTCCCGCCTGCACCAATATCCCTGGTTGGCCCCCCTTGCCTGAAGATGTTCGAATCCCGGCGAACTTCGCAGACTCTTTGTCGCTGGGCCCTCCACACGCCTTGCCTGAAGAAGTTCGGATCCCGGCGAACTTCGCCGTCTCCCTGTCGCCGGGCCCTCCACACGCCTTGCCTGGAGAAGTTCGGATCCCGGCGAACTTCGTCGTCTCCCTCTCGCCGGGCCCTCCACATGCACCTTCTCGCTCCGACCGAAGCGGTTGGCGATCCCCCGCAGGCGGCGAAGTCCTGTCCCTCACCGCACCGCTGTCTATTTTGGGATGACGACTCGCCACCCCCGGTCCTGACCAGCTCTGCGCGTCCGTCCTCTCTGTCCGCTCTGCAAGCATTGAAGTTCGGATCCCGGCGGACTTGAACGTTTCGACCGAGCCGGCACGAAGAGCAACCAAGGCCGCCATCACCGAGCAGGCGGATGAACAGGGCACGTCCTCCGACTGTGCCGAGCATTCCGGACCGGGACCGGCAGACTGCTGACGCCCGAGGGCCTCCCACGCCACCCCGCCGCTGTCTTCCGCTGTCGTGGTGTCGCCCTGAGACCCGCCCTCAGCCTCGTCGCCGTCTTGTTGTCGCCCCGGGACTCGTTTGCCGCACCCAGCCTCGTCGCCCTCGTTCTCCCCACCTTCCGGTCCTCGAAACCCTGTACTTACATGCGTCCCACTGGGAGGGGGGATTTTCCAGTCCACCCTTCCTTTCGAGGGGCTCGTTTCGAGGTCGTAGTAGTCCTCCGTCAGCTCCAACCGGCGAACAATCGCCCGACTGTGACGGACACGTCTTCGGGTGCAAAAGAGCCATTCTCGGCCCTCACTTTCTGGAGGACCGCAATTCTAGCGACGTCGAGGAAGTCAGACTTCGACCCGCGAGGGAGTGGCATCCATCCTCCGTCCGGGACAGCGACCGCAACGATCCACTCACCCTTTTGGATCGCCGGCTGGATAACTCCTGGATGCCAAACCATGTCATGGCCCCAGTCCGCCTCCGTGGAACGACTTTGAGGCTAAGTCAGGAAGTGAATGTTGGCATTCGTCCAAGACAGATGATCGGGCGGGATGTCAGACCCGGGACGCAGTGAGCGATGGCCGGAGGCCAGAGCTTGCATTCTCTGCAGCAACTTCATCGGGGTAGTGCCAGGCGCCGGTTTCGCCATCGATGACACGAGGGACGCTGGGCTTGTCGACGGACCTGCCAAGGACGACCCTGTACCGTGCTGCGCGGAATGTTGGTCGTACTGCAGGTCAAGGCTTTCGGTGTCGCTGCCCTCCTCGTCCGCGGTCACGTCGAACTCGATGCCTGTGGTCTCCTCGTCTTCCGTGGAGATCAAGGAGGAGTAACTGCCGAACGTCAGCTCCTCCTCTGACTCCACGAAGTAAAGGGACTCCAACCTCTCGAGGAAGGTCTTCGCGTTCATGCGGGAGGCGCCGTGGTAGTTGTCGAGCAACGTGAATATGTGGTCCTTGCGGCGCATGTACTCGGCGTCAGTGTCTCTCTTCGGCCGCGTTTGCAGGAACAAGAAGTCGTATATCTTGTTCCGCTTCCTCGCACTCAACTTGAACCACATGTGCATCTTGTTGTTCCACGCGCGAGGGCGAGACTCGTTGACGACCATGAACTCGCAATTGTGGGCACCCGAATTGACCTCGCTTTTGACGAGACCAATTGTAAATTGCAAGAGCTCGGAGTTCCCTTCCATCGCGATGACGTGCCGTCCTGCCTTCGGTACTTCCCAGACTGACCGCGCGTGTGGCTTCCCGAGGAAGACGACACCCTCCCCCTTCTTGGTGATGGATTCGAGAAGCTGAACAAATTGGGCGGGGTTGCGTTCCATGTCCCCGTACACAATGCCTCGACGGGCAGGCGAGGTATGCCACCAGTCGCAAGCGTTGAATGGGACGTCGGACACATCCGTTTGCGTAACCTTCTGTGGTACCCGCACTGCAGCAGCGGCGCCTGTCGGCAGTTTCCCCTTGTAGACGACGGACGTGTTGGCCCGCAAATCGTCGTCTTTAAAGAGTATGTACATCCGGTCGTCTTCCGTGTACAAATTATTCCCGACGGGGAAGCTTTTCTTCTGTTGACTCCTCCTCACCCACTTCCCTTCCAGCACCTTGACCAAAGAAAGATGGTTCATGCTGGCCAGAAAGGAGAGGTTCTGCGCCGCGGGACAAAAACAATAAGCGTCCAATGCGACGGACACCACGTCTGGAGTTGGGAATTCAGATTGTCGAATGCTTGCAGTTTCCAAAGCTTCAAGTCCACCGGTTCGCACAGATCGAGGACGAACGTGTGACTCTTTGTGGCAACCACTGCCTCCTTCACCTCCGCATTCCTTATGTCTGCCTCCAAGGGGTCGCTGCCGAATGGCGCGATGGATGTCACGTCGACCGTGTTATTCCATTTTATGTGCACAATGCCTTCGGCGAGCGTGATCTCTCGACTCTTCAGTCTAGTGCCAGTCAACACGGACAGGACCTTATTCCGCCAGTCGACAGACAGCTTCTTGTGACCGGCCAGCTTTTCCGTCGCCTCGATCGATCTGTCGTTGTCGCAGCCCATGTAGGGCGGGCAGTCCTTGAACAGCGAGGAGTTAGTGACGTATTTCGTGCTCCTGTTCCACAACTCAGCATCCAAACCACGACTCTCAAAGTGTCTGAAAATTGCGGACCTTGATTTCAAGAACGGGAACCTCTAGCTCCAATCTGCGTCCAGCCTTTTGTCGTGCTTGAACTGGTAGTAGTTCCACAGACGCACCAGCACCCGGTCGCACTTCACCAAATTCACCACCTCCTGGACGCTCAGCTTTCCGAGCTTCGCCAACGCTGGGGAGCCGGTCTGTACCCAAACCACCTGGCAAGCGAGCACCTTCTTCAGGACGCGGCACTTCTCGTTGTCTGTCAGCGACTCCATCGTTTTCCAACAATGCGCGTCCAACTCTGGCACTTGCACGAACCACTCGCCCTCCTCTTTCTCGTTTTTGCTTTTTTTTGTCGGTGGGTCCACAGGGACGTTGTATACGACCTCCTTCCTGCCCAGCTTGTCATTATGGATGTATGCAACCCCAGGCTTCACGTTTTTGACTTTCTTCTTCCGCATGATCCACTTTGCGCCGTCGTGTCCGAGCAATCTGCCTGTCTCCCATTTCTCGAAAAAGTCGACGGCCTGTTTCCAGACGTTCTCCCCTGCCATCGCCAACGGGAAATAGGAACGCAGGGCAGTGCCTTGTTTCCTGATGGCCTCCTCGCCCTGCTGATCTGCGAGAATCCACAAGTTGTTGTGCGGTGTCATGTTGAGTGCGACATTACAGAATTCACGCCACTTCCGGACCTGATCCTGTTTTCCGATGGGGTTCCCCATAACAGCACACGGGCAACCGGCGCGATTCCATTGCCACCTAATGTCCCTCATTGACAGCTCCAGCTGTCGTGGGGGCGCCTTCAGGTCCTTCTTGTTGTCCTGGGAACTGACAAGGAAGTACCCTTCGAAGTCGTCGTCCGAAAAGTAGACCATTCGTGCAGGCCACCGCTCGAAATTGTATTTCCTGGCCACCTAGCTGCCGAGCAGCGACCTTGCTGCAGTCGCGTTGTGCTTCCCACACACCGCGTAGTAGTAGTATTGTCCCGCCAGCTCATCCCTCCAATCCTCCGGTCTCAGACGTTCTGCCTTGGTCCCCGGAGTCGGTTTATCAAGCCCCAACGGCGCCAGTTTCAGGGTTGGTAAATCGTAAGACTGCGCTTTGTTTTCGAAAGCCAACCACATCGCTTCTTTGATCCCTTCCACGAGCACGGGATCCAGGGACCGCTCGTTGTACAGGTCCTCCCAGTCCCCGAGGTCCACGACCTGCGCAGGGCTAATGTCAAACTCCCGCTTTGTCCGAACGCCGTCTTTGTACTCGAGGAAGTACCCGGCGTCGACGTCGATGGGAATCCCTGTTGTCGGTGGAGAAGACGGTCTAGACTCAGGCTGCTTCTGTCTCGAAGACGGTCGTTTGGCAACCTGCCGGCCCTGCTCCCCCTCGGTCCCCTTGCGTTTCTCCATCGCAGTCCTGGGGGCCTTGCTCTTTAACTTCTTCGTAGAACCGGCGAACTCGTCTGGACGATCCCCCCTCCTCTTTTGCGGAGCTCCTTGCGAGCCCAGGCCTCCCGCGTCCACCTCCTCCACACCCTGTCCCTCGCTCGCCTCCAAGTCGACCTCCGAATAGGCYGCCACCTGTACTGCAGGCCCCGTACTCTTYCGCTGAAYCGGAGCATCAGTCTGAACCCCAGGAAAAGACAACACAGACCGCCTCGTGTCACTCAGCGCTGGACCAGTCCCCTCATCCTCGCTGTCGTCRAACTGACCTCGGCTCTCSCCACRGTGCAGCTGAGTGGCGGGACCAGAACCCAGATCACCGCCCTCCGCCGCTGCCCCGCTTGACTCGCAACCGCTGCACAGCTTCAACGGCAACGACAGCTCCAGGGCTGGGTTGACGTCGCAGGGGACGTCTAGAGCGATGTTTTTGTCCTCCAACATGTCGAAAAATTCACGCGCCAAAACAAAACCGCCCCCGAGAACGAGTTCTCTATAGAACGGGGTGTTCACAGCACCCGCTACGAGCCCTCACACAATTCGAGGTCCAACAACGTCCCTTTCGAATTGGCAACGACGTTGCCCTTGGCGCCATAAACTTTCTGCATATAGAAATGTCGTCGGCCCCCCTTTGTGTCCTCCCACCACAAGATGGCACCAAGCACTCTACGCCTTCTGCTGTCATCGATGAAGATGACATGACCACATGGCTGCGCAGTGGGGTTGGAAGCGTCTCCACAGCACCAGTCGATGAACCATTTCGACCTCGAATGGTTCGACCACCCCTGCGTGGCAGTAGACGACCGCCTCGTGGAATCTTTTCGTGATTCCTTCCCGAAGGTCCCTGTTGGCTCCACCTCCCCCTTGGAAGAAGACATACTGTCTGCCAACGACAACGCAAATCGAACAACACACCATGAAGTCAACGTCTGTCAAAACACAGGAGAAACAGAACACTCGCTGTCGCACATCAACGCAGGCTGTAGCGCAGCGAAAGCCGCACACGAAGACACCCGGGCACCCAAATCCGAAACAGTGAGAAGGGGTAGCCTGCTGGGATCCGAACTTCAAGTGGGCAAGAGACCGAGAGGCAGACAGAGAGAGAGAAGCAAGTGAAAACTCGCAGTGCGCATGAGATCACGCGCTGTTTATGCGGCACACGGGGCACCCCGAAGAACAAAGACAGACAAACGCACAGTGAAAATCGCGAAGTCCGCCGGGATCCAAACTAAAGGACGGTGCGTGAGATAGAGACGGCGAATGCAGATTTCGGGAATTTTTCGCAGGAATCAACTGGCGGTCATGTTCGAAACTCGCGCTCGACGGGGTAGTGTTCCTGACAGTCCAACAGCCAAAGCTCGCCGCGAGCCAAACTATAACAGATAGGCAGCCATGCAGCCAGCGTCCCAGAACCGTGCTCGACCAAATACACTCCGGAACCAATATCGGTGGGTTGTGCAACCCACCCGGAACCACGAAGACTCACGACAAAGCAACGCACCTCCCGAAACGTGAAGTTCGCCGGGATCCGAACTTCAGGACGATGCGACAGGCAGAAACGGCGTCTCGGACACACGATCCGCAAGTCTAAGGTTGTTAAACTCAAACCCGACCCAGGAAGGCCACACCGGAATGAAAGGCTGGTTGAAATGGAGAAGTCCGCCCTAATCCGAACTACTCTGATTTTCGATCTCGCGTTATGCACAGCTTGGCACTGGATGAACCCAAGCTCGAAAGCGATAGCCGTGTCAACATTTCGTAGGTCCTTGGACTCTGGCTGTTGCCGGAATCCACGAGGGATCCGGAAGACCACCGTCTGTGGCAATAGACAGCCGACTCCTGAAGTTCGCCGGGATCCGAACTTCAGGAGGACGCAAGAAAGAGAGACAGAGAGAAACATTGGAGCAACTCAGAGTCCAAACGCAAGACGGTGTTCGACCAAGACGCACGAGGAAAAACCTCGGGGTTCCATAGCCGACCGCAGGTTTTGATGGCAGCAGTCACTGAGTCCAGGCGTGATTGGTAGCAGGACCGTTTCCGACTCCGCTCAACACTCGAAGCTCGGAGGCCGGTAGGACGCACAGGCCAAACCGCGAAGTTCGCCGGGATCCGAACTTCAAGAGGGCGCGACACGGAAAGAGACGGCGTGCACTAGCAACTGCTGCCTCCCGCGCCTTTCTCCACTACTAAAACTCTGCTATGTTCGGCAGCACACAAGCCTCTCACTCGTCTCCCTTCTTTTTGCTTAAGTAGGATGTCCAACCACACGTCCAGATCTTGTGACAATCACGGTTCCCCGGGGACAAGGTCGCGAACCGTAGCCATACAAAGCATTCATTGACGATCTGTAAACGCGGACCAGCGGATCGTCGACCGTTGCAGTTTTCGAAAAGACGGACATGTATTTCATCCTAACAAACACTCCCGGTCGTGCTAAGGAGTTCCCTATACAGTCCCGTATGGCGGACACTTTCTCCTCGACCTCCCTAAGCAACGAAAAGCTTTGGACCGGCCCTGCTATAACCAAATCTCGCCACCCATCTACATGTTCAGGCCCGGGCGTCGGAACGAATTTGGACCCCTCAATTACCACCTCGTTGCGTGATACAAGCACAACTGCATCGACGAGTTTCCTGCTTTTGTTCGACGCAGCGACACATAGGACTCTGGCGAAATCGGACCCGGATACAGTCAATCGCACACAACAGTATGACACAACTGGTGGAGAATTCCCGGGGCACCGGAGCGGGTACTGGCCCAGGAACGAGCAGTGATGAGCGCAGTCCAGCAACTCTTGTTTCTGCGAGCCTCCCCAAGTTCGTGGCGACGACCTGACGTAGTGGCATTCGAGGCGGCTGAAATGGCGGCTAATGCAGCCCAGTGCTCTGCTCATGTGGTTCAGGAACTTGTGTCCGAGGACAGCGTCAGACAGCGGGATGAGGTTCCCGAACTCCAACATGTTGGCGAATTTGTACTGGCTTGCCCAAGGGCAGCGACTCTCCATCGTGGCCCAATTCCCATCGCACCAATCGTCAGTATGCGCGTCCCTGCATGGGACGACGGTCATCCAGGGGTCCTCGTCGAAGTCCTCTGCGGTCGCTCCGTGGATCGTAGTCACACCGTTGAAATGCCCCACTGATCTCGCGCAAGGAGAAAACGGTTCTGCCAAGCGAATGTGCGTTTCGGGACTCATGGTTTGTGGTGTCGAGAAGATCGACTCAAAGATTCGTGGTGTCGAGAAGGTCCCATCCATTACGCACCCTACACACCACGCTCACATCCTCAAACGACACACACGGGGACGCTGACACTCGTAAACATAGTTGGCGAGCAATCAAACGACATAGGTCCCTCGCTGTGGTTGTGCACTGGGGTTGGAACGCGAGTTGGGTTTTACGAAAGGCAAGAACCTGAAGTTTGCTGGGATCCGAACTTGGCGGAATGCCGTGGGAGAGACACAGCTGTCTATCAAACTCGCCTTTCCATTCTTTCTTGAAGTTCGGATCCCAGCCGACTTCACATTTTCACAGGTCCACTGCTGTGGTTGTGCACTGGGGTTGCAACTCGAGTTGGGTTTTACGAAAGGCAAGAACCTGAAGTTCACTGGGATCCGTACTTGGCGAAATGCCGTGGGAGAG